TCTAACATCATCGCCACAGAACCCTTGCCACCACTGAATCGCGTATACTCCACCATCATCCAGCAGGAAGGGGTCTTGAAGACTACTCAAGAGGAGGAACGTAACCCGGTGGGCTTTGTCGTGACCTCCAAATTTGACCGTGACGCAACTAAAGATTTAAAATGCAAACACTGTGGACTGAGTGGACACGAGAAGAGTGGTTGTTTTCAACTCGTTGGATATCCTGAATGGTGGGGAGATCGCCCACGTGTCCTGAACCCGGGACGAGGTAATGGCCGCGGCAACAACACAGGGGGACGGCGCGGCGGCAGGGGGGGCAACGCCGGCCGAGGTAACCGCGGCGGAGCTGGTGGCGGTCCAGCAAGCGGACCGGCGGCACACACGGCTCAGGCCAACGCAACGGATGGAGGGCGTGAGCTCCATCAACCGAATCTACCTTCTCTCACAACCAATCAATGGAATGCACTTATGGGACTCTTAAACGAGAAGGATTCGGGTATGGAAAGTAAATTTTCAGGTATGACTAATACTTCTTGGATCATTGATAGTGGAGCCAGTCAACATATGACCAGTGATAAGAAGTGTCTTGAAAATTTGGAAGTCATAAAACCTTGCTCAGTTGGCCTACCAAATGGAGATTGTGCGATAGCCAACCAAAAGGGGAGTGTGGTTGTAGATAATTTGATCACCTTAAAAAATGTTTTGCTAGTTCCTCAACTCAACTGCAATCTTATATCTGTCTCACAACTTCTTGAGAAAAAGAATTTAATTGTCAAGTTTAATAATAAAATTTGTATTATACAGGACTATATCTCGAAGATGGTGATTGGAATGGGTGAGCAGGCCGAAGGACTATATTATCTCAAGAAAGGTGTGAAGGATAAAGTCTGTACTGTGAAGGAGGCGAAGGATCTGGACATTTGGCACAAGCGCTTGGGTCATCCCTCCTACACCACTGTCAACACTTTTCTCCATTTACCCAAAAATACCAATATCCCTGATTCCCCTTGTGATGTGTGTTTTCGTTCAAAACAATGTCGTGACTCTTTCCCAATTAGTTTGAATAAATCCATTACTCCTTTTTCCTTGATTCATTGTGATTTATGGGGTGGGTACCGTACTCCGTCTCGCACTGGGGCTAGATATTTCTTAACTATTGTTGATGATTTTTCTCGGGCAACATGGGTGTATCTATTAAATCA